ATACAGTTCATCTCTCACTCACTTTTGGGGTCAGTCTCGCTGGTTTTGGTCTTTCGCGCGATGGCGGCCTCCTTTGCGACAGTGAGCTCCTTGGTGATGCGGTCGACCTCCCTCTTGAGGGCCTCGTTCTCCTCGACCAGCTCACAGCTCCGCTGAAGCGCCTCAGACGGATCGACATACTAAACACACACACACACACACACACGTACAGATGACGCCATCTGTGGCGGGATGGATGGCCACTTGCTCACTCACCAGCATAGCCTCTTTGAAGGCCTCGAAGTCTACTCGGGCGCCGGCGCCGCCCCCCTGGCTGTCGCTGGGATATGCTGCCGCCTGGTGGACGGCCGGCGGCTGTGTGAAGTCGACAAGGAACTGCCACATGGCGGCCATCTCGCCCGCCGTCCACCCCACCTTGCGCAGCACAAAGTACTTCTCGAAGTCGCGCCGCTCGATAAAGCCGTCCTGGTTGGAATCAATGTCCCAGAAGACGTCCTCGATGACCGCGTCGCGGCTGCCCTTGACGCTGGCGAGTGCCGGTTTGATGACCCGCCTTTGGTCCCGGTCCTTCTGCACCTTCCTGAGGTACCTGCTGAGCTTCTGGATGCCCGTGGCATTGGCCTCGTCCTCCTCGTCGAGGGCCATCAACTCGCCCTCCCACGGCCGGCCCCGCTGACACGCCGCCACCTCGCGAATGAAGGGGCCGCACAGAATCCACCCTGGGGCACTCGGGGAGGAGAAGACACACGCGAGGCCGGCCATGTGCGTGGCGGAAAGGGTGCAGGGGAGCGACCCCAGGAGGGTCACGAAGTCGGTGCGCGAGATGACGCCCTCTCCCTGCGTGTCGAGCTGCTGGATGAGGGAGCCCAGGCCGATGCGGTGGCTGCGGACGGTCTCGGCGATGATCTTGAGGGCCGTCAGGGCCGCACCCACACGGCTCCCGCCATCCACACGCGCCTGGCGCGACAGCCTATCACGGATGTGCCGCATCGAGACACCCTCCTCTTTGCCTGGCGCCAGGGCGGCCAGCAGCGCACTCGACTGGTGCAGCCGATGCCGCTGCAGCAGCGAGCAGAGGGGGGCATCCTCTCCCTCCTTGCCGAGCTCCTCGAGGATGCTCTCGTGTGCCGTGTGGCCGCCCTCGATTACCATCTGCGTCAGCTCGTCACCGATGGCCAGCGGAATGAGCCATTCGTTCAGAAAGGCGCGCGGCGAGGCGGGAGGGGGTGCCCCGGCGCCCTGCCTGACTGGCCAGGCCCATCTGTTGGCCTGGTTGCTGGCGGCTTCTGTGTCGGGTGGCGGGGGCGTGAGGGCCTCCTTGAGGGCCGTGTCGACTGCGATGTGCAGGTCGGTGAGAGCTCGGATGACCTTCCGCGCCTCCTCTTGCGAGGGCCGGTCGCGCAGACGCGTCACTGCGAAGCTCAGGGCGCTCGTGAGGTCACTCAGACTGCACACAGCGACACCAAGGCACTCAATGGACACCGAAAGCCGTGTTTCAGATCCCTCTCTCACTCTCTCCCTCACCGTCTGAAGTCGAAGTAGAGCTGCTGGTCGGCAGCCGCCCTGCTGCTGTCCTTGCCGCCCTCGGGCGCCATCCACTCGAGATCGCCGCCCTCCACGCCCCGCACCAGTCTGTCGAGCTGCTCACCCACCTCTACAGCACCGTCAGCGTCGCCACGAGCCAGCGAATACGACACGTCACTCATGGCA